CAGTATCTCGCTCCAACGAATGTTCGTCCAGATTTGGCGCCTTATTAGAGGCGTTTCCGATGGTTTCTTTCTTGTATATACTGGTAGTTCAATGAGTACCTACAAATCCATATCTGGATTCCAAATCCCACGAATTGAAGTTAGGAGATGTGTCAGTAAGGTAATGTAAACATGAGATGATATCTTTTTCGACGGAATTGGAATGTCTTTATTTCTACAAAAAATTATTAGAATCAAATGATATGACGAGGTCTCTTTGTCATTGTCTGCGTGACCGTACATGTCAAAGTCGGCTATACTAATCTTTTGGTGTCGTATTCTCCGATTCTCTTGCCTTGTCGTTCTCTGCATCAGCTCGCATCTCGGCTTCCTTTGCTTCGCGAGCTCTAAAAGCATGATTGTCACCATTTACATGGATTTTACGGATTTTAGGGTAAATAAACAATAATTAGTAGTTAATTGAACCCACAATTTTCCTTTGTCTGGGCAAATCTTACGATGTTTTGTACAGTGGTGATGGCGGAGATGGTGTCCACATCGAGTGGGACGAGGACGTTTATCCTCATGTCGACGCTCAGAACTACTTGGACGTTTACGATCACGGGAGCGAGACCGACGTCGTGAAGATCTGAAAAATAAGAAAATATGCGACTGGATAGTCAATGGTATCCAAAATACGAGTAAAACACGTGCCTTTTCACTCACCGATCATCGTCGCGGTCTCGATGGCGCGAATCCAACCGTCCGTCACCAAATAACAGAGCTCTTTTACGTTCAGCGAATTTCTCATCGATCTCTTTCTGGAACAGATGCGGCACTGATGACCGTTTCAATGGTGAATTTGATAAACAGCTTACCTGGATGGGAACAGGAATACGAGGAAACAGTGTACCGTACCAGTCGAGTTTCGTGAGCATTATACGAACGACTTGTCCAAAAGTCATAACGTCACCACCTCCTGATCTTGGGTCGATCTCCTCCTCATCATCCTATAGTTGAGCAGAATAATGAAGTATGTTTAAACGTGATAGTTCTCAAAATACTCACCAAATATGGTTCGAACCACTCCCACAAGTCTGCTGGTGGTTGTGTGTAACGTATGTACATGAATCCTAATCCGCGGATATACGGTGACACTCGACTATTGATCATGGATATTAACTGTTTTCTAAAAACAAATTTTTGAATCATAGTAAAGTAAACAACGTCACACTGACCTGGTAAGGCGAACCTTGAAAAATCTATAAAGTAGACAAAATGCCGAACTAACGACTCCTCCAGCACCGACTCCTCGTACCTGAAATCCGGTACTGCACGCAGTGGATAACTCGAAAGAAAATGATTAAAAACTCACGCCGCCACACATTCCTGTCATTCCTTGCACTTTTCGTGTTCCTTTCTCCCATGGTTCGAGATGTTTTACCTAGGTAGTAAGAATAAGCGAGATAAGTAATGACGAAATATCACCAGTATACCTTGTAGAAGACCTCATCGAGAAGTTGCTGAGCGGTGTCGATTTCCACGAGGTGATTCTTGTAATAATAACTTTCCTTGACATTTTCCAGCACAAGGCCATTAAGATTCATTGTCTGCTGATTTCCCCAACACGGCAAGATGTTGCTTTTTCTGTTGCTCTGAAAATAAAATTATTACCCCCTGCTGCAAGAGCCAGATTCTGATCGTCGGTTACAATACACTGCAATAGTTGGATTTCAATCGCGCATGCCGGTCGATAAAATCAGCTATCGTTAACGGCTTCGCTGTGGTTGGTTGTTGTGGTTGTTGTTGCTGTGGCTGTTGTTGCTGCTGCTGATCCACCTGTGACTGTTGCGGTTGCTGTTGCTGCTGTTGTTCTTGTTGTTGCAGCACCAACTGTTGTTCTTGCAGCAAACGTTGTTGCTGCAGCATCTGTTCCTGCTGTTGTTGCTGTAGCAGCAATTGCTGTTGTTCTTGTTGCATCATCAACTGTTGTTCTTGTTGTTGGAAAAGCTGTTGTTGCTGTAGCAGTTGCTGTTGCTGCAGTAACTGTCCTTGTTGTTGTTGTTGCAGAAGTAGCATTTGTTCCTGTTGTTGCAACAACTGCTGCTGTTGCTGATGTTGTTCTCGGTGTTGCAGTATCTGTTGTTGTTGCAGTAATTGCTGCTGCAGTAGCAGCTGCTGTTGTTGCATCTGCTCCATTTGCTGGATTTGTTGGTTCATATTTCCTAAAGAAGAAAATTCGTTAAGTTTAAAAATCACTTAAATGTAGCCATTGCGAGTATCAATGAGACAGAAGAAAGCAGATAAGACTATTTAGATAGACATTTGCAGGGCAGCATTAGAGCACATTTTCTTGCGGGAATGGCGGAGCAAAGCGTGAAACACTAAGCTTCGTTTAGATTTCGCGTTCGGATCGCTCGAGCGACTGGATCGCGCGACCACGACTAGGGCGCTCCACCGCCAAACGGTGCACCGCCGCAACGGCACAATTCAAACTGACACTGTGTGAACGCAGCCCAGTTTGAATTCTGCCGTTTCGGCGGTGCACCGCTCAGCGGTGGAGCGCCTCCCGTCGTGGTCGCGCGATATCCGATCGCGAAGTATGAACGCGGTCTTAGGAGGGAACTCCGCCTATTAACGACTACATAAACGCACGCTTTCCCAAATTTAGGATTCTTGCAACCTTGCAAATGCGCTTTTCTCTTTTCTGCTAATGGGCGGGATCGATCCTCTTGTTTAATTTCGAATTTTCCATAGTCTTGGATTTTTCACACTATCGATAATGGGCGGGATCGATCCTCTTGTGTAATCTCGAATTTTCCAAAGTCGTGGATTTTTCGCACTATCGAAGTGTGAACACGGTATAAAGCCATGAACAGCACAATACGAGTAGTGTGCGTATTTGAAGGTGAAAGACTGCGAGCGGATGTCATGGTGGCTGTCTCAAGCTGGATGGGAAAGATTGCGTGATGCTGATGAGGCAGGCACAATGAAGGTATGACTATAAAGAAGCCAATATGTTTCATGAAAGTCACCCTTTCCTTATTCTAGGCAATGTTGGGAAAAGGAAGTGATGTGGATCCGTTAGTTACACGATTACTTAGCGATTCGTATATTTGTTTCTATCACGAAGAGCCGTCTAGTCATCATGGATCAAACTCGTCCTCAAATCTGCTGAATAACATGATCCAGAAGGTCGTAAAACCCCTTACATAATAATAGCTAAAACGAGGTGTAGTTAAGCAGCTTTTAGCTTCAATTGGACGTTCTTACGACTTGAATGTGGGTGCAAATCCCTGTTATAGAGCATATTATATTATTGAATATTTAATGCTGTAAAGCATATATTCTGTCTTTCTAATTACTCTTGTATATTTCCTGTATCAAAATCATCTGAATTTGTAGTGCGGACCGGACAAACCAAGGACAACCAACATATTTCAGTATCGTAGTAACTAAAGGTTATTTGGCTTATCCCTGTACCTAAATTCATGTATAACTAGTAACTAGCATTGTTTCATATTTTTTCGTTTAGAGGTTAGCAAATACTGGTGTTGTTTTCCTACTTTGAATTGTCACAAGTCATGCAAAGCTGTAGCTTTTTCGGTATCCCATGGTGATAGCATTGCTGATTTCGTGTAGCGTTGATTACCATTGTGCTTTTGTCAACGCCGGTCGCCTCTGTTGTTTGCCACTGTTCACGGGATTAAACATCGCATATACAGAAAATAAAATTTTAAGCATATTTGAAGGTTTCTTGTTTGATGCGATGATTGACAACTTGACATGAAAGCAGAAGAGCTCAAATGAAAAGGCTTGATTGGGGAAGTAGTTCGCAAAGTAAAAGCAAACTTGTACCCGTAAATATGAGGTCAAGGCTCCAAATGAGACCTGCAACTTGTGAACATCATTGCAACCATGTTGTTACTATTCACCCGGTCGTAACAAGATCAGGGCTCCTGATCAACCTGGTTTTCTGATCCACTTCCTTACTACGACGCATCTTAACATCATCACGTCCACATGAAAGTCGGTGCCAAAGGGAAAACTGTACAAATTGCAGGGAATAAAAGGTGGTCAGATAAGCTGTGTGGTGTAAAAAGTAGAGTGGCTCGGTTGTGGAGAATTCTATATAGGAGAAACATGAAGGCCACTCTAATAAAGAGTGGATGAATAAGAGCCCTCATAGTCCTCAGAACTACGGAAAGAATCCATTCTCAAGACACCGCACACTCCGACATCCACAGGAAATACTGCTCTATCTTCTTACTGTTCTCCACAGAAATGTAGAAGATTCGATTTAGCATAAGGTTAGAGAAGCACTGGAGATAAAACGAAGTGCACCGCCGATAAACACTAGAGAGGAGATGGCAATGGCGACGAGGTTTATCAAAGTACCAGTTTGGCTGACGCGCACTGCTGCGCGCATGGCTAAACCTATGCTACATCACTGACGGATCTCTGTGCTGACCCGTCGTGCTTATCGCACTTCTTAAAACACCCATATTCGTCTGAAATACGGGCAGCTTTGCGGTTCCAAGAATTTCGATGGTAACAGTATCGAGATGGTATTGAAATGTCTTTACATCCAAGTACTACGTGGAAATGAAGCAGTTTCCACGTATCACAAACAATTTCCCACCACTAATGTTCTCTAACCACCCCTGAATCACTGCTGGAAGCAGTCTACCACTGTTGCTACAACTTAAGCTAAACGTTTCAGAAGCTCCCTTTCTTGAGTGGTCCCCTGTGGTATCTTATCAGCTGTTATCACTTCCTTCCACCCACCAATATTGTTCTCAACCTGCCCCCCCCCCACCACCCTCCACATCATTTCTTGAAAACACCGTCCCACCGTTGCACTGAAGCGAATTATGGATTTGGCCTCCCTTTTTACGGCTCCTTGTCAGCCCTTGTCAGCTGTTATCATCTCCTGCCACCCATCAGTGATGTTCACGTCCAACCCCTATATCACTTACCAATGTGAGCTCTGAACGGCCAATTTGAATGAAGCTATGAATTTCCGTTAAAAACACACATACATACAGACACACACACCAAAAGGCAAACTTAGCAGATTGTATAGAGCAAGACAGTGATGTATAATGTGCCAAATAGGGAGAATCGTATTTAAGGAAGCTACTCCTTTCAGTGGATCTACAGAAGGGTTTAGGCTCGAAACTTTGGAACACAAGACCTGTGATTACATGCCTACATAAGAACATCATTGCACCAGTTTGTCAAGGAAATCAACAGAGCTGACAACAAGTAGCTCCATTTCCGGCCTTGGAAAGCAAGGAACTTCAAAGGCAAGTGACGATAAACTGACATGGCGTACACGGACGATAAAGGATGAAGGATAGTCTTCGCCTTTAATAAACCCCTTTGTGGGATGTATGCCGCATTCTACTTCCATTCAGAATCGTAGTGGGTTACTGACTGCGTTTTGGGCTATATAAATAATATATTGCGGGTCTGCCGATATTTGAGTCGGTGCACCTACACTCTTAGACTAATTATCGTCCCGGAGGATGGAAGGATTGGTTAGCCTGAGCGGGAGTCTATCCGGGATTTGACGCCCAGACCGCGCGCGTGGTAGGTGTGCCACTGCCCACTACACCGCCTCCACCTAATAAAAAAGATATGAGATAAAATCCCATGCTGTAGCGATGGTATTGTTGGTACAGCGCATTGGCAAAATGGATAAAATCAGTGGTCAATCATGTAGTGCAATACTTCCCTTACATCACCTACAGGGATCAGGGCTAGCCATTTCAGCTCTACTGGTTAGTTTACTGTTGTTGTAAACGGTGGTACTGTTATTCCCAAGTTATGATAGATATACGAGGGCCGTTCAAAGTATTCTCGGTAACGAGGTAATTTAGCAGTGACGAAGGAATTTCAAATCATTTCAATAGGTAACGACACTCCCTGAGGGTATAAATACAAAATTTCATTTAGTTATCATGCTATTCTAGTTAACCTTGGTGAAAGAAAACCAGAATGGCTGATGCTTAATGTTAAGAACATGATTTGATGATTTGAAAAAATCAAAAAAGAGAAAAATGAGAAGAAATCCGAGAGAATGGTTAGTGATTACTTTTAATCTTCGTGGAAGGCGTTTTTCTGACGATGAAGTGAAAGCAGCAATTAACACACATTTTGGGGGAAAGGAGGAGAAAATCGTTTCCAAAGACTATTGAAAAGCTAGTTCCTGAGCAAACAAGTGTATTGAGGTTATGGGGACTACATTGAAAATCAATTTATTCAGAACTTTCTGTCTTTTTGTTCATACCTGTACCGAGGATACATCGAACATCCCTCGTACGATGAGTGTCACGAAATATGCAGGAAATTTGCGTAGTACTGTAAGCTCTGCGAATCAAAAAAGAACCAAGAATGCCTATTTGTCGTCACACTATTGATTTGATAATTTTGAGAGATTCCCTTATACTTGGCCGAGGCAGCTATCAAGAATTGGAGTAATATCAGCGATCTCTTTCAAATACTGTCTTCGACCATGAGCCTAAAAACGATCCATGGAAAGAAGTGAGAAGGTTTCTAAAGAAGAAGGTTTGCTCGCAGCAAAAAAACAGCGCCGTGGATTATGGATCCAGATGAAGCTGGGATAGCTGTATGGGATGCGAAATGCGCTTAACATGAAAGAGTTACGAATGAAAGTGATCTTGAGTAAAGTTACAACTTCAGTTTTCGCCTGCGCAGAAAGCATCCACAGAACCAACGGAGAAATTTCTTTCATCACAGAAGCAAGAAGACGGGTCTCCCAGTTCAAGAAGACGCAATCGCTGCATTCCAAAAGCGAAGAAAAATGTCAACGGCTTTTACACCGACCGTTCGTTCTGTATTCACACCCTTCAGTTAGATGACCGGTCATCTTTTGAGCTGTTCTTTTTTATTTTGCACAAATGAGCACAAACCCGTCAAAAAAATGCGCAAAGGAGTAACAGGCTGAGTAGAGGGAGAGCCATGGACAAGAGCTGATCAGGAACAGAATTGAAAAGTTAACCAATTCAAATATTGTGGCATCGCTATTCAGTATCTATCGGAACCACTCATAAGCTCAAGATTTGTGATCCTCTGTGAAATAAGCAAGCAAGGTGGCGAAGTGTTTAGCGGACCGACCATATCCGCACGCTTATAAAACTGAGTGGTGAGAGCAGGTGGCGCTTTGATGAAGCATTTGGGATCGTTGAGGGTTGAAGGATGAGTGAATTAGCGGGGAATTCACGAAAAGGAGATCAGGTGAGTTGGAGAATCAGCGGATCGGAAACCGCGCTTAAAGAGACAATACGTATCGACTGATTCGCTGAATTGAAGAACCGGAAACTGGAAGAAACGGAGAACTGCAGAATAGAAAAAAATGAAAAACAGGAAGTCAATGGATATGTATCCATATAAGCACTTATCTTTTCGCTTCAGCTGACTCTCCGGTTTCATTAGATATGACGTACCCCACGGATTCCTTCGTGAACTCCGCCCCAACATTACAAACAAAACCTCATCGGTTGGTGAAATATCATGGGGCACCGGACGAGAGGGGTTTATATGACGACGACACTTCGTCCAAAGATTTGTGCCGCTCGCTAGAAGTTCTTGTGTCAAATGTAATGAAAAGCATGGGAATGAAGATTGACGTCCAACAACCACCACAACTTTTTGCTGACGACATTGTTCTAACAGAACCGAACATCGAGCAAGCACAGCTCTGCGGTAATGTCAGCTTGCAGCGAAACAGACAAAGGTGATTCTTATGAAGGACGGATTGGGTCCTGATGTCCCATTCTCGCTCAGCGAAACGAGCATCTGTGAATATACAAGAAAAATCGCACGGAGAAGAGTTTTCTCCCTGTGCTTTGATTTGTCAACCTCAACTCACAGCTCACCCGCGGTGGTCGACGGAGTTCAAACTTGGCCTTAGTAGGCGACAAAACGAAATTTCCTC